TTGTCCTAAATCAAACCTGTCTTTTCGTTTTAAGGTCTCGAGGCAGTCCTTGTCCCCAGTGCTTCCATCACACCTCTGCCAGGACTCGCTCAATAAGCATTTCCAGTTTGGCCTCAGGGCATTATCGCACATTGGAGACTGATTTGCCTCACAAAAGACCTGTTGCAAAGCCAGGATTCACATCCTATTTCTTTACTGCCTTTCTCTTCCTTTCTTTTTGCCACTTTTCATCTTTTTTTTTCTTCCCAGATGCTTCTCCTCTGCCTCCTCCTACGTCCCTGGTTGATGGGGCATTTTGAAAGGGTCGGTGTTGCGATGGGTGCTGGTTCTTCTCCAGTTGATCTCACTATGATCTATCAGCTCTAGACAACTCTCATGGGCCTCTAATTTGTGTTAAGGGACCCAGCCCTGCCTGCAGATGCCTGTTTCTCCCTCCATCAGCTCCAAAGGGGCTAGAATATGTCTAATGTGACCAGCTGCTCATGGACCCCACTGCGGTGGCAAGTGGCAAGGGACAACTGCAGAGCTCCTTGTGGCATTAGTACATGGCTAGTGCCCCTGGCTGCTGTTTTGATGGGGAATGGTCTGGATTCGGATAAAAAGAAGCCCTGATCCATGGTTCCCATGGCTGAGGTTGAATGGTTGAGGTTGGAAGGATGATCTAGAGATCATCTAGTCCAACCAAGTGACCAGTCTAGAGGAAGGCCCACATATTTGGCCTACAAATTCCCCAAAGCTCTGGGGGACACTGGAGTTGACACTGACAGTGCAGCACAGGCTGCAGCCACCGTGAGATCCATAGTGATGTATCAGGAGGAAAACACCTGAGCGGAATCTCCGAGTCCTACGTGACCTTTGCAGTTCTGGCTCCTGGGAAAACCCTCTTCCCAGGCAAGGAACACACTTTGGAAAATTCATTGCAGAATTCAGAATGTAACATCCCACCAGGCCTCTACTGCTTTATTTTTCTGAGAAGAACTACACTTCAACCATAGGATTTTCAGGATTTTTTTTTGTTATTTTCTTAGATAGTTATGACCACCCATATTCTCTACTGGAATAGACACATACATATAACATATATGGATATACATTCATACCTTTCACTCAGGTACGCAAATATGAAATACAAGGACTACCTCTAGATGGAACATTCTCTTTCTAGAGTGTTTTGCCTAATTTCACTGCCCTCGTGCATGTTCACAAGCTTAAATGTGGGATCGGAACCTTAAACTACTAATTCATAGGGACACATCTACACATTTACCTCTGTGTAGGATTTGGACCCTGGACCTCAAACCTACTGCAGTGTAAAATAAAGCGACCAATAATTAAAGCAGGTATAATTTTGCTTACTTGTTGATGAGCTGTGATTCTTTGTAAAAAGGGGGGGGTAACATAATGATGGAAATAAAAGTGCTTCCATGCACTAGACTCTGAAGTTTTAAAAACAAAGCAGCAGCAAATCTCAAGGACTCTCTTAACTGAAATTACTTGCAATTTTACAGCTCCAGTGACTTCTGTAAGCTCAGATGCTCGCTCAATGCTGCTATCTATTGGAGCAAAACGATATTACACCAACACTCACATCTTAAGAGACTTTTACCTCTGCAGAGTGAAAAAAGGAAGCGGAATTTGGCCTATAAATTAACAGCAACCAGCTACCCCTTAACCTCACACTGGTAAGAGCAGCAGAGCATAAGAGCTAGCTGGAAGCTGAAGAAAACAAGGAGAGTCAAGGCCAAGGATTGCATACGGATATATAGTATATATGGGCCAAAATAAGAAAATAAAAGGCAAGGAACAAGATACACCAGCAATGAGATACCTTTATATAATGCAGCAGTCACAACAGGCAGACCAAGGGTAAGGCACGAAACAGCAGGAGGGGCAGGATGTGATTCATCCATCCAGTCTTCCCTAAAAGAATTAACAGCAATCAAGTGGCTAAAGCAATTAGCAAAAGAAGCAAAGGAAAAATGATCCCGGGTAGTAAAGAATCACAGAATGGTCGAGGACTGGAAAGTATTTCATTTGTCTTCACAGAAGTCAAGCCTGAAGAATATGACCTGAAAATAGAGAACTGACAAAACTATCAGATTAAACTATGTGTTGTGGGAACTTGCATAGGTTGGATGTGAGATTAGAAGCTTCCAGAAAGCCAATCTGATAACATCCTTTAAAGAGAGAGCCAGAAAGGAGGAACCGGAGCAAGCAGAGCAGGCAGTTTGACAGGAACTGGTGTTAAACTATTGAAACAAACCAACGACCTATTTGTGAGGTTATAAACTTGCCAAGAACAAACCAAACTCGGTATTTTCCTTATGGACCGGAATTATAGCACAGAGCACACCCTTCGCCTTCACAGGTGACCCCAGGCTGGGAAAGGCACCACAAAGGATAGGCCTGGAATTCAAAAGAACATGCAAAAAATGGAAATACACCTTGCAGAAGGTTAGTATTGCTCCCATAAGGGCAAAACACGGCACTAATCCACGAGACCAGCACAGAATATCAAACCAGCAGCGCTTCCCTCAAGGGTGTGTGGAAGTTAGTGAGAAAAAAACACACTGGAAGGTGAAAACGCAGACTCGGGGCGAGGGGGGCACGTTTTGGGTGCAGAAAATGCCAAAAAGGGGGCAGGGCACGGATGACGCCACCTCTTACAGGCGAGCCGTGAAGCGGGGCTGCCGCAGAGGGGCTTTGGGGCTGCGACGGGGAGGCAGAGGCCGAGAAGACGACGAGCACCGTCCGCACGGGCAAGAAACGAGCTTTAAACGTCGCCGTTACAAAATAAACCGCCCAATTCCCGCTCCTCCCCACCCGCCCCCGGCGACAGCCTCGGCCTCCCGCTGATACGCCTGTCTAATAACCACCCACATCCGCCCGGCATCGCCGATTTTCCACCCGCTCCGCATGTCACTCCGTTTCGCCACCCAGACAAGGAGCTCTGCCCCTTATTTCCCCCCGCGGC